GCAACAGACCATAATACAAACGCCATGTACATGTTCGATCTTTTTGCTTGCGGAAGTAGCTTGTCCAGGTCAGCGCTCGTTGAAGTGATGGCCACAACCAACCCGGCATTACTGAAAATCCACGCGAGCACAACACGCGTACGGAATGCGCGATAGTAGTCTTCCTGTTTTGTCGAAGCGTCACGTTTTTGTTCTTCCTCGACATGAGGTTTGCTCAGCGTGTTAACAGCTTCCTCGTAGGCACGATTGATATCTACTTGGTCGACAGGAGCGTCAATTTCGACAGTGCCTTTTTCTGGGTTAGAGGTCACCGTGCCTAAATCATGGTTTGCAGAGTTGTCGCCCTTTGTACCCCAACTGTTTTGAAACGAGGAAAGTGTAAGCAACGTATTTCAAGTAAGGCTACCGGGACAAAGCACTGTCTTATATGTGCATCTACGGACTACTCACCTGACGTCGTGCGTATTACAAAAAGCGTACACGTTCAAGATATTGACATAGAACGGGACCAAGAACATGTACTGGATGAAACTCGTGAACATATGCCATGGCTCAAAGAACAAGAAACTGGCGATAAAGTACAACCCGTACGTCGAAGCCAACGATAAGACAACGTTCCTGAAAGTCTGATCTTTGAACAACGTTTTTAAGTCGTTCATGCTAATGCTGCTGATATTTCCGCCTGTCTCTTCCATAGCAAAGCCAAGGCCTTTGTAGGTCAACCATCCAGCCGCAAAGAGCATATAGCCCATAAGACCGGCATAGAAGACCATGGCAAAAGTATACGACCACTTTGATCCTTGAGGTCTATTGCCCATTGAGAGAATGAACGAGATGATGAGGAGAGATAGATAGACGTAGCGGAGAAGTTGGAACGTTATGTTGCCGATGGTTGGTGACCAGAGACCGTCAACAACTTCTGGGTTTGACAAGGAATTACCGAGAATGTGGAATGTCAAGTAAAAGTTGCCCTGTGAAGAAAAAATAGAGTATTAAATGTCAGTATTTTCAAAACCAGCGGGCAAATTAAACTACATAATCTCTTCTCACCAGAGCAAACCAAGAGAAAGCCAAATTAAATGATTGGTAGGCCATTTCCACATGCAACAGAATTTTTCTAAAGAAACCGTGATTGCTCCTCCAAATAGAGAAAGTGTGTAGAATGGCGTACACGCCCGCAAAGAAACTTCCGTTTAACCATCTTCTTCTTTGCGAGATCAACTCGGGAACCTGATCGGGCACATCAGTCTCTGCATACGCCGACTTTACGTAATGCAACAACCACGCGCAATGCCTCTTTGCCACGAGCTCGTAACAGAGAATTCTGTCTTCTGCCAGGTACATGTTGGCGGTGAAGATATCTGCATCTGCGCCATGTTGCTTTTCGCCGAGGAAATAAGAAGCGAGCGGGCCTCGGCCTTTTTTGTCGTTTTGGAGAGCAAGGTAACGATAAGCCGAGAACGCACCAGGAAGCACGGTAATGTATCCAAAGACTGACTCGAGGGGCTTGTCAAGGATGTTGCTCATTTTGTATTCAAAGTTTTGGCATGCAACCAGAGGATTGAGCAAATTGACCCCTGCCGGACCTTTCATTGCAACAATTTCACCGCATGCACCAGCGATACTGCCGTTTCTATCAAATGCTTTCCAGAGATGGTAAATCGACGTACCACCAGGCTTTGTACCAACGTCCAACAACACGCAGACGTGCGGTTGCAATATAGCCCCAAAAGCGTTAAAGAACCATCTATGACTGTTGATCTTTTTCGCATTCTTCTCCTTCAAGCAGAACAGTACCTGGATAGGTACTGTTCCCTTGTCTGCACCGCAGAAATTCATCTCCGGGTCGATTGAAACCTGGGTGGTGTACTCGTAGATATGAGCGGTGACAGGACGGCCGTTTACTGCATTCTTGGCGACACCATCTTGGTAGCAACCGATGGCGGCCAGGTAGGAAAGTGTGCGCTGATTGATCTTCTTTCGGCCGTCAGAGACGACACAGACGACAACTTTTTTCCAGCCTTCTTTGCCCCAGACCTTCGAGCGGTCGCGCTTGCAGAGATGGGCAATGTTCTTGACTACACCATGGAAGGTACGGGCAAAAAGAACTTCATCTTCCTGTAATAGAGAAGGAATTGACAATAAGCGTATATTCAAAAGACACTTGATAAGGTAATTTGCCATATGTTTTACTCAAGATGAAACAAGAACGACCGAGGATCACACAACTCAAATGCCTATTAATGCTAATCCTAATACTTACATTATACATGGTTAAAACGATAAACAACTCTGTTTCTCGTTTCGGACTGTACATCTGCTGTCGCAGATGATACTGTTCTTTCTCAAAGTCATTCGGATCACACGTGCAGGCAGTATATCTTAGATGCGTGAATTCCATCTCGTCCCTCAGAGGAATCATTCGCTCCAATTTACTTGGAATCTGGCAATCCAGAACCAAGTTGCCCTTGTATAGCTCTACTCTTTTTGTTGTCTTGTACCTTCGCGGTTGTCGAGTAGGAGGCAAACCATAATATGTAGTGGCATCAGTATCAGTTTTTGCAGCTTGATGCACCTCTTGACGGATTGTCGGTTGACGGTTGGTCATCCGGTATACATCCGTTGATTCGAGGGGAGGAGTAAATTGGGTTGGACGCGGTGATTCAGGCATTTGTTGT